TAGGGGTTTAGGGGTTTAGTGGTTAGGGTTTTACGGCTTAGGGTTTAGGGGTTTAGGGCCAGTTTAGGGTTTAGGGTTTAGGGGTCTAGGGGATGCCAGGCCGTACAGCCATTCTTGCTTGTTGCTTAGGAACGAGGGCGGATAAAAGCGCTCCGAAAAAAGGCTTTATAACCGTAGTAGATCCCGGACCCCAAACCCAATACCCCACGCCCAAAACCCCAAACCCCCAAAACCCCAAAACCCCAAAACCCTAAACCCCAAAACCCCATGACCAAGAACACCTGAACCCAAACAACTAGGTGCGCGACAACGGGATGAGGGGGGGCGGCGGCCAAGGCGGATGTTCCTGGCACGGGCTTTTAGGGTTTAGAGCTTTTAGGGTTTAGGGCTTTGGGGGTTGAGGGTTTTTAAGGGGTTTAGGGTTTATGTTTTAGGGCATGGGTGGTTTTAGGGTTTACGGTTTGGAGGTTTAGGGCTTGCAGGGTGTTGGGGTTGGGGGTTTTGTGGCTTTAGGGCTTTGGGGTTTTGGCTTGAGTGAGGGGTCAAGGGCTTCAGGACCTCGGACTTTAGGGCTGCGGGGCTTAGGGGTTTAGAGTCTAGGGTTTAGGGATGAAGGCTGAAGGAGAAGTAGGACGTCGCGGGGTGCGCGTAGGGTTCAGGAGTTGCTCTGGGGTCCTAACCCCCACCTGAACCCTAACTCACCTATCTTTTTGGGGCTCCTTAGTATGAGTTCCCTAGAAAAGTCCTTCAACAGCTTATTCGTTTCACTACTTGTTTCAGGACCCAGGTAAAACCAAAACCCTAAACCCTAAACCCTAACCCCTAGAAACCCTAAACCCTAAACCCTATTAAACCCTATTAAACCCTATTAAACCCTATTAAACCCTATTAAACCCTATTAAACCCGACGAACCGAAAGTACAAAACAGGCCGCAGAGGCCAACATCATCATCAGCTCCCGCTGGTACGCCTCTTGCAGGCTGCTTCAAGGAGTCGAGGCCCTCTAGGGTTTAGGGTTTAGGGTTTACGCTTTGGGGTTTAGGGTTTACGGTTTAGGGTTTAGGGTTTAGGGTTTCGGGGGAACACACGCTGTGGTTTGCACGAAGTTGCTGCGGCCCTAACTTTCTGAAGCGAGTTTTTGGGAGGATAATCACCAAGACCCGTGACGAGTGGTACTCCACGGGCCAAACAAATTACCAATGCGGTTGCTTAGGTTGTCTTGTTATATCTACCACAGTATAGTATACCCTAAACTCTAAACCCTATTCCAACCATCAAGGCCCCTACAGTACATATTGATTGCTGCTCGGCGTCTTCTCCACTAGGCCCTAAACCCTTGATTGCTGCTCCGGCTCTTGCGATGGTCTCAAGAACTGGTTTAGGGTTTAGGGCCTACCCGGACCCCAAAGAACCTACGTCTTCAGGGCTCCTTATCATGATTTCTTTATATAAGTTTTTTAAAAAGGTAAAATATTCGGGGTTGAGGTAGGGATTGAACCTTCAACCTCGAGAAGTCCTAAGCCTCTGCCCAGGCAGGTTTGAAGCGTGAAGCCTCAAGGGGTTAAGGGTTTAAGGA